AATCATAAACAATTTCTTGTCGATATTTAAAAAATAACTTACTTGTAATTGAATATCAGCGATTTTGTTCCATGAAAATTCGAATTCATTCAATGGTACCTTGGCAGCCTTCAAATAACGCAAGAAACCAAGTTCCTCGGGACGTAACATTAACAATGCATGACCAGAACTGCCAGTACCACGAGCAGTACGACCTACACGATGAATGTATTCCTAAAAAATATTTTTAAATAAATAAAAGAAAAAAATATAATTTATTTACTCCAACTTACTTTAGGATCATCTGGAGGATCAAATTGCACAATCCAATCAACTTGGGGAATGTCCAAACCACGAGCAGCCACATCAGTACACAGTAAAATACCCTCGGCAGCATTACAGAATTGGAAGAAAGTAGTGGTACGTTTTGTTTGTTTTTGTTTACCCTAAAATTTAAATGAAATTAATTTACATTTAGCCTCCTTAAAACTAAAGTTATAAACTTACATGTATGGAGGTAACGGGCAAATCTATATAATTAAATAACTCATGATGATATTTAACAGACATACAAGATGAAAAGAAAACCATGACCTTCTTCTTGCGATTTTTCTTAAGGAAAGTAAACAGCACCAATAAACGTTTCTCGGAGGGGCAAACAATATAACCTTGTTCTAAACCACTAACAGTGGCGGTATCCTTGTTGTCATCAACACCCACATAAATTGGTTCCTTTTTCAAAGCCAACTTGGACAAGGCATCAATTTTTTCAGTTTGGGTGGCCGAAAACAACATAGTTTGACGGCGTTCTAAAAAAGAAATTACAATAAATTGTTAGTTATTACGATAATGTAAATACTTTAGTTTAACTTACTGGGCAACAAATTAACAATTTGTTTAAGCTCTTCCTCAAAACCAATTTCCAATATACGATCGACTTCATCGATGACCAAACATTGTAAATTCTTGTACAAAAAGTCGGGTGAATTTTGTAAATGATCTAATAAACGTCCTGGTGTAGCCACCAAAATATTTACACCTCTACTTAATTTTTCACTTTCTACTTGACGATTGGAACCTCCCATTACCAAACCATAAGTATGATTATGATGATTCATTAATTCCTTGAGAACACCAAAAGTTTGCATAGACAATTCTCTGGTGGGGGAAATAATAATAACACCGGTACCATTTCGGGGCATAAATCTAAGTTTGTAAATTAATTCAACGGCTGGAATCAAAAAGGATAAAGTTTTGCCTGAACCAGTTTGAGCAGCGCCCACCAAATCACGACCTTGTAACAAAGGAGGCAATGATTTTGCTTGAATTTCAGTCATTTCGGTGAAACCCATTTCTTCTATAGCCTTAAGGGTAGCATCAGAAACAATACCCTTAAGGGAGGCAAAAGAGCGATCAGAATTATCACGTTGTTCCAAGGCTTTGGCAGCAGCTGTAGGATCAAGTTCTTCGAAAGCCTGTTCTTCTTTAGCATTCTTGGATTTCTTTTGTTTTTCATTAGTAGATTGATTGACATTATGTTCTGGTTCCTCATCCTCACTATCGGATAGTTCACTGCCATCTTCCTCTTCATCTTTAAGAAAAAAGTAGACATTATTAGTTATTACACAATTAAAATAAAATTATGATTTAAAATTACAAAATATCAGTTAATTTTCAATATAATTTCATTTAGTTCAACTAAGATTGACTTTAACTCGTCGTTAATGGTTGTACCTCAAATTCGCCTTTAAATCATCAGGAATTATACAGCTTAAAAATAAAACTATTGCCTTAACAATCTTACCTTCTTCTTCATCACCACTTTGTTGTTCTTGATCTTCCTCATCACTATCATCCATTTGTTCTTCATCGTCATCACTTTCTGAATCCGAATTTACTACCTGCATTTGTTGTTGCTTCTTTTTCTTTTGAAGCTTTCCATTTTTAACAATTTGTTGGGGCATTTCTTGGAAATCATCGTCCAGTTCATCTGTTCATAAATATTAATACTTTAGTTCAATTGAAATGGAAATTTTCTAGAAATCTTACCCTCTTCCATGGGAGCTGCATTTTTAACACGTTGTTTTGTTGGTGGCTGCTGTTTTTGTTGCTTGCCTTTTTTCTCAGCCAATTCTTTCTTCATTTTCTCGCGTTTTTTAATCTTTTTCATTAGTAGCTTTTCGCGTATAGACATTTTGAATTATTTTTTATTTAAAACAGTAATTTGTAAATAATTATCACACCTATTTCCCACAAAAAAATTATAATTTATTGTCAAAAATACTCCTGCACGTGTTGACTGAACAGCATAGCCCTGTGCCGACAAATGTTAACGGCGGTGGCGACTGACACTAAAAATATCGGCGGCGGCTTAAAATCGACTGTAAACCGGCAAAGTTTTCAACTACGTTTAGTTTTTGAATTTTCAAAGATTTTAAATAAAAACGGAATCCGAGAGATCAAGATGTGGGATTTTGGAAGCAAATATATTGTTTATAACAACAAAACAGAGCAAGCACAAAAGTAGTGTGAGAAATTTTGCAAGGATGGATAAAAAATAAGTGTCAAGATTTTCTTAAAAAAAAAAACAAATGAAATAGGTCTAGTTGGGGATAATGAGAACCAGAACAACATCAATAAAAGGGATCACAAAGAGTTTGAAAAATTTTCCAAAAGTTTCAATTTGAAAACATTATTAGAGTGTGTGAAAAGTCGCAACTCTATAGGCAGACTATTCCTATTTTTTGTTAATTATTTTAATCATAAAGAAATTACCGCTAAATTTCTTTATGATTAAAATAATTAACAAGTAAAAGTGTTATATTCGGCTATGCCGAATCTTATATACCCACCATCAAATCATATATCGTAAGAAAGCAAATTTCGGAAGTGGGTACTTACATACATATGTATATGGACTTTGATCATTAGATTTATATAAACGTCAGCGTAATTTTCAGAATAGGGACTCCAAAGTGGGATTGGGTCAATTATGGACGAAGTTCTCCATAATTACCTGTTTCTTTGCACAATGACACTCGGCATAGTAGTAAAACATACAATTTTATTAATTTCTAAGTTCAATTGTTATTAAAAAACCTTCCGCTACAAGAATTAAGCTAATTGAAATAAAAATTGTCTTTTATAGTTTAGTAAATTTAGATTCTTTGTTTGTAAAATTTAAAATTTCAATCGAATTGATTTATTTATAACGATATAGAAAAATTCTTCAAAATTTGAATAAAACATTTAAATTTTGCAATTTTAATTTTCAAAAATATATAAAACAATAACATTTTAAGTAACAACTTTATACTTTTCTCATATAGTTAAAAAACATGACAAATCTAATCAAATAAATCACGATTTTTACTAGAAGCTGCTGAGGTATCCCAACCTATGGAACGTTCAACAGCCATCTTCCACTTGCGATAACGTACATCACGCTCATTTTCGGTTATTATAGGTTTATACTTCATGCGTTCCTCACCAGCGGACAAACCCTCTTCGATATTGAATGAAGGTTCTACGGCACGATAAGCAGCTAAAGCTACACCCAAAGCAGTAGTCTCAGCAATTTTCGAGCGTATAACATTAATGCCCACCAAATCAGATTGCAATTGTAGGAACAATGTATTAACGGTCATGCCACCATCAACCATAAGTTTGGCCAAAGGAATACCACAATCCTTTTTCATAGAATCCAAAATATCTCGCACTTGGAAGCATATTGACTCCAGAGTAGCACGCACAATATGTTCACTAGTAGTCTCTTCACTCAAGCCACAAATTACTCTTGAAATATAACAAAAATTTAGTTTAAAATTCTTTATAAAATATTGTTACCCCACCCACCCTCTAGCCTCTTGATTCCAATAGGGTGCATAAAGACCACTGAAGGCTGGCACAAAGTAAACATCCAAGGAATTATCCACTAAACGGGCCATGGCCTCTACTTGACCCAAAGACTCAAAAAGTCCCAAATTATCACGCAACCAAGTCAAGGCCACTCCGGCTATGGCCACACTACCTTCCAAAGCGTATACGGGATGTGAATCGCGTCCGAATTGGTAACCCACTGTGGTAAGCAAGCCATGTGAAGATGTGACTATAGCAGTGCCGGTATTGTAAAGTAGAAAACAGCCTGTACCATAGGTGGCCTTAGCCTGTCCCCTTTGCAAACATTGCTGACCCACTAAGGCTGCCTGCTGATCACCCAAACAGGCTGTAATGGGAATACCCTTGATATCGGTATCCTTTATCAAACCATACACTTCCGAACTAGACACAATTTTTGGTAATATAGAAGTGGGCAAACCAAAGAACTTTAATAAGTGAGAATCCCACATTAATGTTTCAATATTCATCAACATGGTACGAGAGGCATTTGTAACATCGGTCAAATGAAGACCACCATTAGCGCCACCAGTTAAATTGTAAATTATCCAGGAATCTATATTAACGAATAAATATTAACTGAATTAAAAAAATTCCACAAAATAGATTTTATAGGTGGTTTTACCTATGGTGCCAAATAAAGCATCTCCCTTGTCCATAGCTTTTTTAACGGCGGGCACATTGTCGCGCAACCAACGCAATTTCAAAGCAGAAAAGTAGGGAGACAATGGCAGACCACATAAGGGTTTTAAGTAATTTATATTTTTGGAATTGTTTGGTATGGATTCAATCAAATCATCGACTGTGGTAGTGGTGCGATTATCTAACCATATAATGGCATTATGTAAAGGCTCTCCAGTATGACGATTCCACACTATAACCGATTCCCGTTGATTGGTAACACCAACGGCAACAATATCCTGCAAGGAAACAATTTCAAAATTAATATAAAAGTAACTGTAACACCTGAATTTGTATTATAAAGATGCCACTTGCACGTTTACACGAAATTATAACTTTAAAATCGCAATAAAAATCCCACCATGTGCCAAAAATGTATCCCCCATTTTATAAAATAGTAAATACACTGGCAACCCTTTTTGATAAGACGAAGAAAGCAAAAAAAGATTTGCAAACAATAGAAAGAGAATGTGAATTGAACAGAATTTTTGCAATTGGAAAACGAATGATAATAACAAACAACAATTAGTAACAAAGTGCGACTAAAAAAGGTAGTAGAGAAGAAAATAAAACTAAAACTCAATGTTGATCCAAAGTTATTCAATCAGCTCAATTGTTAGAGGCAACAAACATTGTAAGTTCTTCTTATCGAACCTTATAAAACTGCGAAAAATGTCTTCCCATACCACGGAATCGGTAGAAAAAACACTTGTAGCCATAACACAAATGCGTAGCACCAGCGATAAAGCCGCTAATCTGCATCAAGTCGAAAAATTAATAAAACAAGCTAAAGAGCAGTCGGCTAAATTTGTATTTCTACCGGAATGTTGTGATTTTGTAGGGGAACACCGAGAGCAAACTTTGGATTTGTCTGAACCTCTGACGGGTCCGTTGATGCAACATTATCAATCGTTGGCCAAAGAACACAACATATGGCTGTCTTTAGGCGGTATACATGAATCTGTGCTGGATTCGTATGAACGCAAGACAGACAAAATCTATAATGCTCATGTAATTTTAAATAATAATGGTGAATTGGTTACCGTTTATCGTAAATTACATTTATTTGATGTCGTAACACCTGAATTCACATTCCAAGAGTCGAAGGTAGTGTTGCCAGGGCAACGGTTGGTTCCCCCCCTTACAACACCAGCTGGCAAATTAGGTTTGCAAATATGCTACGATATGCGTTTTGCCGAAAGTAGCATTTTGCTGAGAAAAGAGGGAGCAGAAATTCTAACTTATCCGTCAGCCTTTGCTTATAATACAGGCAAGGCCCATTGGGAAGTGCTCTTAAGGGCGCGGGCAATAGAAAACCAATGTTTTGTTTTGGCACCAGCTCAACTGGGCTATCATAATAAGAAGCGACGTAGTTGGGGCCATGGCATGGCTGTCAACCCTTGGGGAAAGATTATGGCTGATTTGGGAGAAACGGAAGACTTAAAGGTCGCTACGGTTGAAATTGATTTAAGCACTGTGCCTCCCATCAGAGCAGCAATGCCTTGTTTTGAACATAGGCGTAACGATGTTTACAGTTTGACAGCATATGGTCATGGCACTACTGAGCCTCAAGAAGATCGCATGTTCGCCACAAATGTCATTAATAAAGATACCATATTCTTCGAGTCGCCATACTGTTTTGCCTTTACCAATTTACGTTGTGTTGTCAAAGGTCATGTTCTGGTATCCACAAAACGTCTTGCACCACGTCTTAGTTCTTTAAACTCGGCCGAAATGAGCGATCTCTTTAATACGGTATGTCGCATACAACGAATGTTAGAATCCATTTATGAAACTACAGCTGCAACGGTTACCGTTCAGGATGGTGCTGATGCTGGTCAAACAGTACCTCATGTACATTTCCATGTAATGCCACGCCGTCCCGGGGACTTTAGACATAATGATCAAATCTATGTGAAATTAGAGGACCAAGTTTTAATAGAAGATCAGAAATTACGTACTTTGGAGGAACGTGTACAAGAAGCCCAAAAATATCGAGAAGTAATGAGAAGTTTTAAGTTTTAATCTGAAGACGACAAGCCATAAGCAAATTCAACTACAATTTAAGATTAAGTTACTTGTAGTTCTTTCTAGTTTTGCAAAATATTGATGTGTGTGTTATAAAAAATAATTGTCAAATAAAATTTTACAATTCCTATTTAAAGCATCATTAAATTTATGTTTGTTTATTTTTATATAAAGAAACTGATAAAGATTTTATTTGTTGTTTGATAACTACATATTTGGAATTAATTAGTAAAAAAACGTTATGTGGAATTGTATGAAAGTTTTCGAAAGCATGATGAATATGCTAACAAAGGGTCAAAGAGCAAATAGGAAAGAAAAATTTTCTAATCAGCTTCTACATTGTTAGTAATAATTTAAGTCTTTAAAGTTAATTTCAAGAATGTAAAGCTTTTATTATACTCCAAATTAGCTTACCTTAACATTACCACCAAGCTTTTCCAATTTCTGAACGCTTTCGTCTATACATGTCTTGACAATGTCATAGATGAGAACTGGATCTTGTTCTACCCAACCTTCTTGGGGATATATGGATGGCACTTCAATTTGGTGATAGCAAACTATTTCATCTGTACCAGCTTTGAAAATAATGAAACGGGCCGAAGAAGTACCCTCATCGATGGCGCCAACATATTTTACTTCACTCATTTCTATTTTGGCTTAAAGACTTGTTTTATTTTTATGTCTACACGTAATCTCAGCGTTTAGTTAGTTAACAATAATTTCTTGCCAAGAACTTTGATCCAACTACTCACAAAACCAGAACACTTGCAGAGACACAATTTACTCAATAACTCTTTTTATTGAACAGCTATTTTGTATGTTTACACAAATTTATTAGGGAGAGAGCGATAAAGAGGTGAAGTGAACACGATTTATTATTAGAGGAAGGTTTTATCTGCGTATTGCATTTATCAGTACAAAATATCAAAAATAATTATTCATTTATTTGTTGTGATATAGTTTTTTTATTGTTGTTATTTGTTATCGTTGTTTCTATTTTGATATCAAAATTTTATTTCATTCACAATAGTGTGGACAATTAAAACAGAGTTGTTAAAAGTGTAGAGGTGCCAAGTTTAATTATATTACAAGTTGGAAAATATTTCCAACTTTGATTTGGAAATTTTTGATGAGCTCCGCAAAACTTTCCAATAATATAAAATATGAACTCAGCAAGCTAGTTAAGCGACACAGCCACACATCAAATTTGTTTGACTCAAACGGTAAATTTTTTGATTGTGTTAGTGAAAAAACTCACATGTATATAAGCGGTGTGATTTTTTTACTAACACAATAAAAAACTTACCATTTGTGTCAAACAATTTGATGTGTCGCCAAGGCGCTTTAGAGGCGTCCAGTAGTCCAGCAAAATCGTCCGATAAGATATATACGTGTTTGTGTGTCGATTCCAGGAAATTTGCTGAGGTCGATTGGCTCAGCAAAACTTTCCATTTCAAATGGAAATGACGCCATTGAAAATGGAAAATGACGCTACGAGTGGAATTGATGCATTTTCTTATTCTTTGAAAGAACATTCTTCTGTGAACTTGTGCATAAAGTACTGCTCAAAAATATAGCGCACCTTGTATTAGGTTTTTATTCTTTTTATATTATTACAATAAATTAAGTTAGAAAAACATGATTGATGGCAAATTCAAGAACGAAGTCCAGTTTATGTAATAAGTATCAAAATTCGGTGTAAGTCGGCAAAATAACGGTAATAGGGCTTTTTATACAAAACTAACCATAAAAAACTGTTTCATAAATATAGCGCACTCTTTGAAATATGTTGAAACAATATTGAAAAATGTTCATTAATTTTGAAAAATTGCAACTAATTATTATGAAAGGACAGTTGTCTTTATTATGAAAGGACAGTTGTCTTTATTATGAAAGGACAGTTGTCTATGCTTCTAAATGCAATTTAATTTGAAGTGACAAATATTAAGCAGTTGTCTTTGGTTATTTTTGCTGAAATGTGTCTTGTAGTACTAGTAAATTACTTTATGTCAAAATTACGCCCTTAATTGGTCAATAGTCCAATTTTTTTTTAGGATTATATCTAGTGACATTGGAGATAACCTTTAAATGAGATATTAAAATTTTTTCCCCAGGGAAAAAGTAATCTGACCTTCTAATATGGGTCACTTTTTGGCAGATTTAAGATAGTGATGGTACAAATTGTAATAATTTTATCAAATTTCACTATAAAACCTTAAAAAACTTGCTTCTAATGTTTAATCTTAATCTATGGAATAATCACACATCATTATTGTGATCTGAATATGCTTAATTCTACACAAGTTAAACCTCACATGTAATATAAAAAAATTAAAATTCTATTCATGGTCTTAATGTCCTTTGTACACCAATTACATTTCGAGTACCATGGTTTCTCAAGAACAGATGGGAAAATTTCAAAAATAAAACTTGCTCCCTGAGCCGACCTCGAAAACACAACAACCTGTTGTATTATTGCCAATGGAGGCATCCGTAGCATATATTTCGAATCCATTGTTCACAAATTCGTGTAATTTGTACTTGGCCAAAGCCCTGCTCTGCTCTACCGGTGTCTTATCCTACGATCAGGAAGTAGATCCGTATAAACAGTAAAACCATTATTTCTCTCAGGCTACCGTCCCGACATCAGGATATTATTAGACGGCGATATGCGTCCTGTCCTAGGGGACTTCAACGCCCACCATCAGCTCTGGCACTCTTGTTTAGGGGAAGAACAAAGAGGTGCGTTGCTGGCGGAACAGATTAACGAGTCCACACGGATTATGGGTACCAGCGCTAGCTCGCCCGATATCACCATAGCGAGTGCTGGTCTGATCAACTACGCAACATGGCGAGCCGTAGTTTCTCTGGGATCAGACCACTACCCATAATCGTTTGTCTGGGTCGACATAACGATTTTATCGTCTCTGAACGCCGTCAATATGTAAATCAAAGTCAATACGGCTTCAGAGAATTCACCGAACGCATCTTCAGTGATCTAAATTTTCCCTCCAACGTCCACCATGCAGCAGAGAGGAAGTTCCGTGAAACCGTCATCAGCTGCTCGCTTTATACATGCTGGTCGAATATCCGTAGTGCGGCCGCACTTCCCAGCAGAAGCAGCCAGGCTCGCAGATGAAAGAGATGACATCCGAAATACCAACCCAGATCCTAGGCTCGCCCAGCTGAACCTTGAAATCAGCAGGCTGGTAAATGAGGACAAGCGGAAATGATGGCCAGATCACTTGAAGAACTGCAACTTAAGTTCGGGTGTTAGTAAGTTGTGGTCTACAGTTCGATCTCTCTCCAACCCGACGAAGATGGATGACAGGGTTGCGATTAAGTTTGCAGGCATCCCCATTTCCGACCCTGAAGGGTGCTCGCGCGCATTTTGCCGGCAATTTATTGAGCACCCAGAGAGAGACAAGGCGAAACGAAGCGTTGTTCGCAAACTTCACAACCTTCCAGTCACGGACATACCACAGCCTTTCACCACAGCTGAAGTTGCAGACGTCATCAACAACGCCAAACCATCTAAGGCGATTGGCCCTGACGGAATATCCATGCTGATATTAAAACACTTTGGCGAGCGGGGAGTTGAGTACCTGACTATGGTTTTCAACAAGTGAGCAGCCACGTAATACCCGAAGCCCAGGCTCAATGCCTACTGGTCACGTATAGACCGTGCCGTCCCCAACGAATGTCCTGCATGTGGTCATGGTCCCCATGACACCCATCACCCAGCTAACCCTACTTCGCTCCGTCCAATGGATTTATGGACACATCCAGTTGAAGTAGTCCAATTTTTAGGCCTGGACATTGATGTAGAACCCCCCCAACTAGATTATTGTATAGTTTTAGCTGTTACAACAACAACATATTTATTTCATCCTTAGCACTTCTGTAAATACATTTCAGTATTTTGAAAACGTTTTGAGGATGTAAAAATACTATTTTTATTTAAATACATATGTTTATTTTTCTGAATTTTACGTTCAAATAAAAATTCGATTTGCAGAACACCAAATTTGGTTTTAAAAGCTTCTCGGTTTTAAAAACGAATCGATTTACAGAACAGACATGAATAATTGGTCTGAACATTTTCTTTCTATAAGAACTGAACTCTAATTGAAAACAAAAACAATTTTTAATTTATTTGTTGTTTTCAATATATTTAAAAGAATGAAAATGTACTTTCGCATTTAGAGAATCAGGCAGTAATTTTAAGAATTATTCCATAAGTTTAATACTTTAGAATTTAGAATCGGTGTTCTGTAAATGGAATTTTTATTTAAACGTAGAATTTAGAAAAATAAACATATTTTAAATGAAAAAGAGTTTAAGATGCCCATAGCATTTATATTAAGTTACAATTGTATTAAAAAAACGCAAAAACAAAATAATTATTTAATTTATTAGAATAAAATTACATTCGATTTACTTTCGACTAGATTTGTGTACTCGGTTTTAAAACGAGAAAAATTATGAGAATTCGTTTTTAAACGAGAAATTTACTCGGATTCCGTTTACAGAACTGACAGGATTGTTTTAATTTTTAATGTTTTAAAAATTGTACGTAGTAGCTGTCTTTGAGTTTCCAGAATGTCAAATCACATATGAAAAAAATTGACTAGCTGTCACCACATTCAAATTGCTTTGCAAATTCTGAGTTTTTACTGCGTCCCTAAATAACATGGCTGTGCACATCACACTGGTCGAAATAAGTCGTAAAACTTCAAAAAGTCGATTTTTAGGAAACGAAAAAGTAGTTTCAACTATAGAACCCTAGCCCTATGGCGCTTTTATTTCCTGCAACACATATGTATAAAAAACGAATTTTATGATTCACAAACGGATATTTCTGTGAACAGCACTCACTGTACTCTCAGAATTTATAATTATTTTTTAAATCGCGCCATTTTTTAAATTAAAAACAAAACAATAAAGATTTTTTGAATTTATTTGATTTTTTTTTATTATTTTTATGTGATTTTAATTATTTATTTAAATATAGAATATGTACAACGAATTTTTAAAAAAATATAAAAAGAAATAATAAAATAATATGAACAACAACTATGATAAAATTTTTAGTCAATATATATATATATATATA